CAACAAGTGGAAACACCGGAGTTGGATTAGCTTTCACGGCGGCTGCAAAGGGCTACAAGCTTATCATCACAATGCCAGCTTCAATGAGTATAGAGAGAAGAATCATTCTCTTAGCTTTTGGTGTTCAGTTGGTGTTAACCGATCCCGCTAAAGGCATGAAAGGAGCTATCGCAAAGGCCGAAGAGATTCTTGCGAAAACACCAAACGGTTACATGCTTCAGCAGTTTAACAACCCTGCAAACCCAAAGGTATGCTTGTAATCTAGTTTTGCTGTAGTGAAATCTGTTATGGAGCTTTGAAGTCTGATGAAATTTTTACTGTTGAATGGCAGATCCATTATGAGACTACTGGACCTGAGATATGGAAAGGCACTGATGGGAAAATCGATGGCTTTGTGTCTGGGATTGGTACTGGTGGTACCATAACAGGTGCAGGGAAGTATCTCAAGGAACAGAACCCCAACGTAAAGGTGAGAGCTTTATCTTCTTCCTCATACAAATCACTCATAGAGAGTCTTGACTAAATCCATGTCTTTGTGTTTCTCTTCTGCTATATAGCTTTATGGAGTGGAGCCAATTGAAAGTGCTATTCTATCCGGTGGAAAGCCAGGTGACTTTTGATTCCCACTTATCATGCATGTTCCTTGTTTCTCTCGGGTTGTCTCATGGTCTTAACATGTGATGTTTGCTGATAATGTTGTTAAGGCCCTCACAAGATTCAAGGGATAGGTGCTGGTTTCATACCAAGTGTATTGGATGTTGATCTTATAGATGAAGTTGTTCAAGTAAGACTATATACTGTATAGCTGATCAAGAAACTGTATTTGCATCATGTAAGAGAGCTACAATTCTGACTTTGCCTGTTAAACGCTTTCTACAGATTTCAAGTGATGAATCCATCGACACGGCAAGGCTTCTTGCTCTTAAAGAAGGTCTTCTTGTAAGTGTTTCACATTTTAACAAACGAATCGTAGCTATCCTCTCGACCTGATCTTTGCTTTAGATAAGTTGAGACCTTTAAGATGATTCTCATTTTGATAATGAAAAATAGTTTCTAACTAGAGAATCTAAAACATACTGTAGGTGGGAATATCATCTGGTGCAGCAGCCGCAGCAGCAATCAAACTTGCAAAGAGGCCAGAAAATGCAGGGAAGCTTTTCGTGGTAAGTTGATTTTGAGTTAAATGTCATATCACCGCAAAAGCTAAGAAGAAGCTCTAATGTTAAAACCTGGAGACAAATAAACAAGAAGCAATTCAAAAAAACTGAAGTCTTTGTGTGTTTTGTTATTTTTCAGGCGGTGTTTCCGAGTTTCGGAGAGAGGTATCTGTCGACGGTGCTATTCGATGCGACAAGGAAAGAAGCAGAAGCCATGACTTTCGAGGCTTGAACTGTCTGAAAAATTCTCCAAATTCTTCACTATTGACGCCAAAATAAAAGAGATGTGCAGTTTCTCCTACATAGAAGAATCTTCATCTTCAGTTACTACAGTGCGTCTTTGGTTCCTTCTCTGTATCTTTGTTTCTGTGTAAGAATAAAAAATCAATCTTGATTTTTTTCTCTGTTTCTTCTGTGATTTGTGAACCACTTGCTGTTAATAATAAGTTTGCTATGTGAGCTTTTTTTCTGTCTTTGATTTGAGTTCTGTAAACCAAAAATCTTCTTCAATATAACCAAAGTCGAGAGATTCAAATGAAGGAACATCTAAGTTTGAGGCTTTGTATAAGATTAGGATAAGGAAGAAGCCAAGAAGGTAATGCTCAAAAAAAAAGGAGTGATTCTTAAAATTCATGAGATTTTATCATCTGTGAAGAGGCAAATGAAGTGAGGAATTGAGAATATCTTAGCCAGAATCAGAACTGATCATCAGGAGAGAATCCTCTCTGCAACATCTCGTCGTGAAACCGAAACGCTTCGGTTAAGTTATCTTGAGAAACAAATCCATTGATCAGAGAAGTATACGTTGACCTATCAGGATTTACACCTCTCTCAACCATCTTCCTCAACACAACCTCAGCTTCTTTCATCTGGCTCTGTCTACAAAACCCATGTAAGATGGAATTGTATGTAAAGACATCGGGCACTAATCCTCCATGCTTCTCCTCCATCTTCTTCACCAAACCAAAAGCTTTGCTCATGTTTTCTTCTTTCACAAAACCATGTATCAATGTGTTGTAACTGATGATATCCGGCACAAAGCCTTCCGAGATCATCTTGTCCAAAAAGCTTTCTCCATCCGAGGCATTACCAAAGCGGCAGTATCCCTTTATCACAGAGTTACAAATCATGACCGTTGGCTTTATACCTTTACTCATCATTTCATCCCAAACTCGAAATGCCTCAGAGAGATGGCCTTTACTGCACAAGGCGTTGACCAGAATGCTATAAGATATTGGAGTGGGAAGTATCCTTCTTGATACCATATCTGACCATATCTCTTTCGCTGTATCGACATCGCCTGCTTTACCAAACCCGTCTAAGAGCGTGTTGTACGTCACAACATCGACTTTGATTCTCTTTTCCTTCATCTTCTCAAAAAGCTGCATTGCTTTCTGCAGGTTCCCGAGCTTGCAGTGTCCATGGATAAGTATGGTTACAGTGTAAGAGTCTGGAAACAAACCCCTCTCGGTCATCTCCTTGAACAAACGATCCGCTTCACCCAACATTTTCCGTTTGCACAAGCCGTGCAAAATGGTATTGTAGGCAACAACATCCATAGAACAACCATGCCGAAGCATCTCGTTTCTCAACTCCATAGCTTCAGAGACCATACCTTTTCTGCAATACCCTTGGATAAGAATCGTGTACACCACACTGTCAGGAACCAGCCCCGCCTCTTTCACAACGTTGAAATACGCTAACGCCTTGTCGAGATCTCCACTCCGAGCAAAGAGACTCATCACTGAGCTGAAGCAGACCAAATCCGGAACAACACCTCTACGTCTCATATCACTGAAAAGACTCTCTGTCTCCACCGAATCTCCCTTCTTACAAGCCTCCATCAGCAATGATCTGTAGGTGGTGGAGTCAGGACACAACCCGGATTCCAACATCTCAGCGAAAACTCGCTTGGCTCTATCGTATTTCCCATTCTTACACAGCCCATTAATCAAAGTGTTATAAGTATAAACGCAAGGGCTAAACCCTTTGCTAGGCATAGCGTTCATCAACTCAGATGCCTCTTCCATGAGGCCTTTACTAGAGTAGGCGCTGATCAACGTGTTGTAGGTCACCATGTCCGGATAAACTCCCTTCTCTTGCACTTGTGACAAAAAGGCTCCAACTTTATCCATCTCACCATCTTTGCACAATGCATTCACCATGATGTTGAGTGTGTAGACATTCATACCGATGCCACCACTCCTAGAAACGTGCTGATAAACTCCCCAGGCCATCTCCACCCACCCGATCCTCACCAAGCTCCCCATGAGAGCGTTACAGGCGTCGATGGAAACCATGTAGCCTCTGCCTCGCAGCAAAGTAAAAGCCTCATGCGCTTCTCTGAGTTTTCTAGCCTGCACATAAGTCCTGATCAACAAATCGAAAACGGAATCGTTCGAACCACAGTTGCTATACGTTGAGACCAATGCATCCACAACCTCTGCCCTTGAAACGCCGCTCCTCCTAATCATCCTGAGAAGACAACCCTGTGCATCCGATAACCTCCCACTCCTCACCAGAACATGGGTCATTGCGCTTAGAGACGAACAAGTATGCTTGAAATTCGGAAAATTCGAACCTAGTTGATGCACCAACTTCTGACCTAGACTTAAGTCGTTGCGGCAACGGTACAGAACCTCAACGACGGCTAAAGGGTTTAACTTTAACCGAACCAGGTGATTTCGCGTGTTGTTACCTTGCTTCAAACTCAAACAGATTTTCTCCACCAAGAAAGAATCCGATGATTCCGAAGCCGAAGACGAAGGTTCCGATTCGGGAGCTGGTGGTGATGACAATGTTGTCAAGGTTTTGAGCTGTTTCAATCGAGCACGAGCGCGGGAGATTCTTGAAGGTATTAACCGGTGAGCAACCATTTTTTTTCCGGTTAGACGGTGTTCAATGATTTTTCTCTAATACGAGACAGACAGATAGGGAACAACGCGTTTCATCAGAGATCTAGACATGTTTCAATCCTTCAGAATCTCTCTCTTTCTTACAATATACGATTTAGAGCCTCTTCGCCATGGAAGACAAATCTTTCAAGCTCTCTGGGAAACGTCTTATTTTTCTGGGACGACGGAGGCGAAAGAAAGAGTTTTGGTCGTGTTAATCTATTTCTATGTTGCCCCCACAAGTTATTAACCTGTTCCAAATTGCCCCCATTAGTTCGTTTTTAAATCAATTTCGTCCTTGCTATGCAAAATATTTCCTGTAGAAGGTGATGACTGTGATGAGATCTCTTAAACCCACATTAATGTTAAATTATTTATACAAACAGGAAGATAAAGACACTGAATCTAGAGAGTATCATGAGCAAGAAAATGGACATTTGTATATACAAATCACTGTATATAATTTATTGTTGCTCTTTTGTATAACTCTGAGGAACAAGCATACTTAAATCTCCTGAATGATGTAGTAAATATAAACAAGAGTACAAGACCAAGTTTGCATGTTACGGTTGTTGCCCCATAGTTCATAACCGTGTTATCAAACTTGATTTTTTGCTCTGTTTCTTTTGTGATTTGTGAACCACTTGCTGTTAATAATAAGTTTGCTATTTGAGTTTTTTTCTGTCTTTGATTTCGGTTCTGTAAACCAAATCTTCTTCAACATTAACCAAAGTCGAGAGATTCAAATGAAGGATCATCTAAGTTTGAGGCTTTGTATAAGATTAGGATAAGGAAGAAGCCAACAAGGTAATGCTCAAAAAAGGAGTGATTCTTATAATTCCTGAGATTTTAATTTTATCATCTACACAAATCGACGAATGTTTCAATTTCTCTCATTGCAATCACTAAATTGTACACAAATTTCCGCCATTTCAATCAACGGAATCAGCTAAAAGAAATCTTGAACACCTTTTCCGATGAACACACGATCGGAGAGTTCAGCCAAAATGAAATTGACTGTGAGCAAAACGATGCTTGAACCGGCGATGACACCAAGCACAACGCCGGTAGTTCCGAGAACTTTCTGAAACGCCGGCCACTCAATCTCCCTCACTTCCTCCGCCACTCCACTCAGAAACTCGTTCTTCCCTTTCTCCTCCTCCGCCGCTTTCCTCTTCTCCATCGCCGCCTTTATCTCTGCGCCTAACGCGCTAATCTCAACCTCCTTATCTCCCTTTCCATTCTCTCCCGGTGAAGGAGTCGCCTCCGACTCCGATTCAGATCCAGCTGTATCTCGGCTCTGTTCGATAGCCTTAGCCACTAGATACGGCGATTTCCTCAGACAAATCGTCGTCGGAGTTCTAATACCATGGTAAACCGGAAATACGCGTCGAGTGGAACGATGCGGTAACATCGGAAACGCTGTTTTCCTGGTTGTTCCGCTGACCGGCGGCGAGAATTGTGCGGCCAGTGACATTTTTCGAAAATTGGGAACTTCTTTCGTTTGCTATTTTTTTATTTTTCTAGAATTTCTCTCCGTTGCGGATAATTCACATAAGCGATAATCAGATACAGCAGCGAGTATAGTATTACATTGCTACAATTATGGGCCTTTTTTAGCCCATAGGCCCACGTACTAATTGATAATAGAATTCGAAATATTAAAAATTTGAGAGAAATTTTAAATCGACTGGGATAGAACATTCTCCGGCGACGACGACGACGGAGAAAGTAACCAGAGGAGTGTATCGGCGAAAGCAGAGACGATGAATCTATGAGTGTGTTTCGGATTCAAGGAGAGATAGCAGAAGAGCAATTCGTGCAAGTATTCTCTATCGTCGGCGACGTCTCTCGTCGTCGGATCCCTAGCTTCCACCATCTCTCTCATCGACATGCCGAAATCTCTGTACGGATCCGGCGAGTCAATGTGCTTCATAATCGCCGTTCCGCCGCTTAAAAGATTTGATACGACGGCGGAGTTCTCTTCTTCTTCGTCGGCGACGTCGTCCGCTCTACGCGGAGAAGAAGGATGCATTCCGCCGGCGAACAATCCGGATCCATTGTCGCCGGATTTGGGTGTTGTGATGGTGAATGCAGCGGCGGTTACGAAGTTAGTATTATCGCGACGGTATAGAGGAGGGGAAACAGATAGGTGATCATAGAGGGAGTTGAAGTTGTTGATGAAGATCGAAGGAGTGTGATGATGATCAGATGGAGGGTTGTGACTGGAACTGGATACGACAATCGGAGAAGAAGGAATCGCCGGCGAGAGACCACCGGAGGAAGAAAAGCAGAGGTGGAGCTTCTTCCTTAGAAAATTAGACATTTTTTTGGGTGGTTTAGTTCGTTAAACAAATGTGATTTAAGGATGAATGATTATGACTTTTTTAGGCAATGTGCTTCTATATATAGCATACACAAATTGTGTATTAAGAGGGTGTCACGTAGTAATGCAATGTCCATAACGTAGCTGGATCCAATATTTTTTTTTAAAAACTATACAATCTTTTGTATTTTAAATTTGTTTCAAACGCGGAATTTTACCAAGTCTTGATCATATTAAATTACCAATAATCCTTACAAGAACAAATCCCATCCGTAAAACGGTGAAACCGGTTATTGTCTCTGACAATGATCTCTCTCGCAACACTCCCAGAGACAAACTTGAAGAAGCTGTGGCAATCACCACAGATCCTAAGGTTCTTAGTGATCCTTATGGGGACACCAAGTGGTAAAGCCAATATTCCAAACGCAAGAGCCAGTTTCTCGCTGTGGTGCGCGACTTCCGCTGCTCTCTCCTCTTCCTCAAGATCGTAAAGCGAGAGTTTCAGGTCGGGCTTGTACCCTGCAGCCTCCATTTCATTCCTTAGCTTCGTCAGCATTGTCTGAATCTCTTTGTTCATTCTGTGGGATCTGTCCTTGGCCTGAAAGGCGTGGACTTGGTTCTTCACTGTGATCCAACTGTACCCTGTTCCTTTCTTGATCCCCACGCCTTTCATCTCCTCTCTCACTGTGTTTGCTTCTGCCCACCTATCAAAGACATTGCTCAGAAACTCTTTATCTTCTTGAACCTAATAAGATGAAACTTTCGACTAAGGTTCACTCACTTACCTTCCAGCTGCTGCAAACGTATTGGAAAGCAGAACGTGGTTGCCTGAATCTTTAGGGTCAAGTTTAAAAAGATTCTCAGCTGCTATTATCCCCAAGTGTGGCTTACTATGCATCCTACAAGCATTCTGAAGAGCTCCCCAAACCGAAATCGTCGGTTTAATCGGCATCTTCTTTACAAATTCATAAGCTCTTTCCACCATCCCGGCTCGACCAAGCATGTCGACGACGCAGGAGTAATGCTCAGGACCTGGCTCGACGCCGTAACCACTCCTCATCGAATCAAATATCTTCATACCGTTCTCCACATCTCCTGCTCTACTACAAGCTGAAAGCATAGACACGAACGTCATGTAGTTTGGACGCGGTGCCATTTCTTCGAACAACGCCAGTGCCATATCAACCTGACCCTGATGAGCGTATCCTCCGATCAGTGAGTTCATGGTAACTAAATTCTTTTCAGGCATCTCATCAAAAGCTTGCTCTGAATCTTCTATGCATCCGCATTTTCCATACATGTCAACGAGTGCGCTTCCTACAAAGACTGTTCTTTCGACGCAAGCCTTCACCGCGTGAGCATGTACTGATCTTCCCAGCTCAAGACCTGCCATACCAGCACACGCACTGAGAGTGCTCGAGATCATAAAATCAGATGTCTCAACGATCTCCTTCCTCGAACGTAGAAATAACAGAGAAGCTTTCTCATCCTCGTGATTCTGCACATACGCAGCCACCAACGAGCACCAAGAAACAGCATTCTTCATCCCCATTTCAGCAAAGACAATCTCACTGCAACGAATCTTCTTACACTTTCCGTAGAAATCAATCAACCCATTACACACAGACACGTCTGAATCAAACCCGGTACGGAACACAAGCCCGTGCAACTCCTCTCCTAGCTTCAAGAACAACCCATCAGAGCAAGCGTTAAGGAAGGCGCAAAAAGTTATCGAATTGGGATCTCCGCCAATCTTTCTAAACTCTATAAACGCTTCAATAGCTTCCTTAGGCCTTCCATCAGTAACAGAGTTGGATATATAAGCATTCCAAGTCTCAAGGTTCCTCTCAGGAATTTCGTCGAACATCTTCCGAGCATCATCTCTCTGCTTAGTCTTACAATACATATCAAAAGCGCTACACCCAACGAACACATCAAGTATCCGTCCACACTTCACAGCGAGCGCATGAACCTGCTTCCCGGTCACGTGTAGTCGCAGCAAAGCCGAGGCTTTGAAAGCGCAAGGGAAAGTGTAGTCATTTGGGAAAACGCCTTCTCGTCGCATTTCGACGAACTCAAGCAACGCGGAGGAGTAATGGCCGTTTTGAACGAGTCCGGAGACGAGTGAGGTCCAAGAGACGACGTTTCGTGACGGCGCGAGGCGGAGAACGAGCCTGGCCGATTCGGGACGGTCGAGTTTTGAGTACATGCTGATGAGGTAGTTCGCGAGGAACGGAGGAGGAGGTGAGTCGAGGGTTTTGACGATTCTGGCGTGCACGACGCGGCCAAAACGCATGGAGCTCGTGGAGATTGCATTCTTGAGGAGTAACCCGAGTGCGTTCGCCGAGAGGAGGCTCATAATAAGTAACGGCGGCGATCGGTAAGATCATAGCTCAGTCCGGTGAAGCATTGGATGGCATAATGGTAAATTTCATCTTCTTTGCGAGATAAACCAAGTAAAGGGTATAATAGTAATTGCATCCCGCGTTTTTCTTGGGCCTAAGAGTTGATCTCTCTTGTAGATGTGTGTGCTTTAGATCTCTGCTAAAGTCTGTTCTTGAGTCCCCAAAGTTCGTACCTTTATACGTTTCTCTCCTAAAGTTACTGAAAAATTCAACCTTTTTAGTTTGTTTCTATTGCAGGAAATTAGAGTTTTGCGTCTGCTCCGATGGATATGGATCAAGAGATCGGTCAAAATCCTCCTGGGTAATTTTTAATTCGAGATGTACCATTATTATGATCACTTAGTTTACAATTCTGTATTAGGGTTTCTCTGCACTGATCCTAAAAAGATAATGGAAGGTCGTAAATACATGCAATTTAGACATGATCAACTCTGTTTTTGGGAATAGACTTAAAAAAAATGGGAACTTTTTTTTTAATCTCAGTGAATAGAGTGAAAAGCAATTAAAGGCTTGTTCTTTGCTTAACATAATAAGGTTGTTATTGTTTTACTCAACAGATTTGATGGTGAACCAGTCCCGATCAGTGGTAACCAGGAGACTGAACCAGTCCCTGAAGACAACTTTTGGGAAAATGAGTTATTCAACAGAGGAGTACAAGATGATGATCATGTGAAGGAAAACGGCAACAAAAGCTCCATCACTCAAGGGGAAACAGACCTGAACCAACTCCCGGCGATTCCGCCGGCTTCTAACGGCGAAGGTTTGCCGTTTGCGCCTGTCGATTTCCCGAGCGCCGGTGATGTTTGGAGTTGGAGAGTTGGGAGGAGAGTGACTGCTACAGGGCTTCATAAAGATCGGTTTCTGTTTCTCCCTGACAGGCTTAAGATCAAGAATGCACCAAAGTCATTTGCGAGCAAGAACACTCTTTCTCGTTACCTTGAATCGAATTTCCCTGAGATGGATGTTAATGCGTTCTTTGCATGTTTTAGCTGGAACATCCCGGCTCTGTTTCAGCCTGCGGATAGAGGTTAGTTAAAAGCTTTTCCTTTTGGTTTTGCCATGAAAGCTCGCTCTTATCTGCAACTTCTGATTGATGTTTACTGTCTTTTGGTTTTGTGTAGTTGATGCTGCATCTCTGTTTGAAGAGACGTCTAAAGAAGTACAGAATCAAGGTGATGATGGGAAGAAGGAAGGATCTACTTCGCGTTACAGCCAGAGGAAGAGAAAACCTGTGCAGACACAGACTTATGAACCTGTTGAACAGAAACCTAAATCAACTCCACGAGCTATCAACAAGAAGAAGAAAGAGAAAGAAGTCTCTACAACTCCCGCAGCAACCAAACCGAAGCCATCTAGGCAGCCTTCTTCGAGACGCTCCACAAGACAGCGAGAAAGTAATGTGGTTAACTTGGAAGAAGAAGAAGAGAACGAACCAGCTGCAACGAAACCGAGCAAGAGAATGAAGAAACGCAGAGGTAATGTAGCAGAGGAAGCAGAAGACGTATCGATTCCTCATATCTATGTTTCTCCGATGAACGGTGTCCTTGCGGTTTCTCACTCTCCTGTTGATATTAACCCGGAAGAGTTCGACAGTTATCTCAACACTCTGGAGAATCTTCTTCAGCAGCAGCCTTCAGAAGCAGGACATGAGTCTTCTTCATCTGTTCCCGTTACTTCGAGCTCTCCAATGAAAGAATACGAATGGGCGGAAGCTAGGATGAAGCTTTCATCGTTTCTGGACAAAGACTTCTCTTCCTTGTTAATGTCCAACGAAGCTGCGGAGATAGCAAGCTTGGCAACAAAGCTGAAGAAAGATCCAAGCCTTACAGCTGAAGAGATAGTGAGGCTGAAGCTTATAGAAGAGATTCCAACTTTCAGCGAAGTCTTTCAGGAGAACAAAAGCGTGATCGTGGAAGCAGATAGGTTCTTCTCTGCTCTCGAGCTTAACAAAGCCAAAGTCGCATCTCTCAAGTACGAGTACAGCGATTTAAAGGACAAGCTAGGAAATATACAGACTGAAGTCGATGCAAACACCGAGTCGATCCGTCAGATCGACGAGCAAATCGCTCAGCTTCAAGCTAGACGCACCGAGCTGACACGTGGCATCAGTAGCAAAGAGAAAGAGAAAGTTGATCTGAGCTATGGTCAGAAGATGGTAGCGAACTCGATCCCTAAAGTGGTTCAAGAAGTTCAAGCAGCTAACTCCAAGAAACCAGATTGGGAAGTGAAGAAAGAAAACGCTCTTAAACGTGAAGCAGAGATCCTCAACAAATTCTCCTCTCTCAAAGGTTTTTTTCTCTAAAACTTATATAAGGCTATATCGTGTTGCGTAAGGCCAAACTCTGTTTCAGACTTTCAAGACGATTTCCTCTGTAGTGATATTAATAATCTATCAAGTTAACAACTTTGCAAAAGATCTCTTCATCTTATTGCGATTTGATAAATAAAGGCAAGATTTTTCTCATTTCTTGATTTGAAAAAAACATCATCTTGATCACATTGACATCAGAGAAGTAGCAGCCATTATTACTACTGTACAAGCACTATCCTGTTACTACTGCCTTCGAAATCTCTACCGTTGTATTCAACCTTAGGCACCGTGACGATCAATTCTCCGTCGCCGTCGCAATCCACCGTCACTAAATCAGGCCTTGTTGATTCCGGTAGCCTGAAACGCCACACGTCAAGCTCAAGCTCATCAAGAGACAAACCCAGAGACGACGAACCTTTCGTTCTCACAAGAATCTTCGTAACTCCGGGATGGATCTCGACCATGTAAGCCCTCACACCTCCTCCTCCTCCTCCGTCCGTTTCCGCGACGAACCTAAAGCAGTCCGGATTCTCTTCGACTGCTACGTCAGCGTCTGACCTCAAGGGAAGCTCTAAGACGCGGCTGAAGATATGAGGGAGCCGTCGGAGCTTCTTTCCGGGTTGTCGGGTCGGATCACGAGCGTGATGGACCTGATGGTGATGGATCAAGATGTTGTTGGCTTTCGTGGGTAAAGGGTGGACTCTCATGGTGGTGGTGATTCGTGTAAGAGTGATAAGGAACGATTGGGGTCAATAATAAATATAGGAGAAAAAATGAGGAATATTGATAAAAAAGTGATCGCCTTTTTTCAAGGGAATCAAAATTTGCAGAAAAGCTACGGCTCTGTGAATTTTATTCCGCCTAAACGAAACCCAAACGTTAGAAATTTGGAATTGTTTACTTTTAGTTTTGGTGGGTTTTCGATTTTCGATCCAACTTTGGGATTATAATTATAATTAGGTAATTAAGTTTAATTATTTGATACGTATGGTGTTTAAATGTGCATTGTACATAAGTTGTTCGACAAAATGTCTGTGAGAATTTCTTAGAAGTGTTTGTGTAGCTGACTCACACATTCGCCGATGCCCATTCCGTCGCCGATATCCTCAACCGCCGCTGCCTCCGCCGCAAATTCTGTTCTAGACGGACTCTCACTCTGCAAAACACTCAGTCACGTCAAGCAACTCCACGCGCACATCCTCCGCACAGTGTTAGACCACCGACTCAACTCCTTTCTCTTCAACCTCTCCTCCTCTTCTTCCTCCATCAGTCTCAAATATGCTCTCTCCCTCTTCTTGTCTGTCCCTACTCAGCCGGAATCCATCGTGTTCAATCCCCTTCTCCGGATTCTCTCTCGCTCCGGTGAATTTAGAGCGACGATCTTGTTCTACCAGAGGATAAGACATGCCGGTGGTCGTCTCGATCAATTCAGCTTCCCTCCGATTCTTAAAGCAGCCTCTAAAGTCTCGGCCTTTTTCGAGGGTATGGAGCTTCACGGCGTTGCGTTGAAGATGGCGACACTATCTGACCCGTTTGTAGAGACCGGCGTTATGGATATGTACGCGTCTTGCGGCAGAATTATCGACGCGCGCAAGGTGTTCGACGGAATGTCACAGAGAGATGTTGTTACGTGGAATACTATGATTGAGAGGTTAGGATCATAAATTTCTCTGTTCCTTAGAGAAACAGAGTGCAATGTAGTTTATCTTTCTTTTTGGTACTTAAAGAGCTTGTTTTGCAGGTATTGCCGATGCGGTCTTTTAGATGAAGCCTTCAAGCTTTTTGAGGAGATGAAGAGTTCTAATGTGATGCCAGATGAGATGATTCTCTGTAACATTGTCTCGGCGTGTGGTCGTAGTGGGAACACGAGCTATAACAGAGCGATTTACGAGTTTTTGAAAGAGAATAATGTTAGGATGGACAATCATTTGCTTACTGCTCTTGTGAGTATGTATGCTGGATCAGGCTGTATGGATACGGCAATGGAGTTTTATATGAAGATGTCGATGAGAAACTTGTTTGTTTCCACTGCCATGGTTTCCGGGTTTTCGAAAGCTGGGAGGCTCGACGATGCCAGGGTTGTATTTGATCAAATGGAGAAGAAAGACTTGGTGTGTTGGACAACGATGATCTCAGCTTATGCTGAAAGTGCTCGTCCTCGAGAAGCTTTGAGAGTTTTCGAAGAAATGCGTCGCTCGGGGATAGAACCTGATGAGATCACCATGTGTAGTGTTGTATCAGCTTGTGCGAACCTCGGTGCTCTGGATAAAGCGAGATGGGTTCATGTGTATACACATCTTAATGGGTTTGAATCATCGTTGCCGATAAATAATGCTCTCGTTAACATGTATGCGAAGTGTGGACGTTTGGATACAGCGAGAGATGTGTTTGAGAGGATGCAAACGAAGAATGTAGTGTCATGGAGCTCTATGATCAATGCATTTTCTATGCACGGAGAAGCCAATGATGCTCTTATCACATTCGCGCGAATGAAACAAGAAGATGTTGAGCCTAATGAGGTTACATTTGTAGGAGTGCTCTATGGTTGTAGCCACTCAGGACTAGTTGAAGAAGGCAAGAAGATCTTTGCTTCAATGACTGATGAATACAACATTACTCCAAAGCTTGAGCATTATGGATGCATGGTTGATCTATTTGGCCGTGGTAATCGGTTAAGAGAAGCTCTCGAGGTTATAGAATCAATGCCGATGGAGCCTAACGTAGTCATATGGGGATCGTTGATGTCAGCTTGTAGGGTTCACGGAGAGCTTGAGTTAGGTGAAGTTGCAGCCAAACACATCCTCGAGCTAGAACATGATCATGACGGGACTCTTGTGTTAATGTCTAATATCTACGCTAAAGAACAGAGATGGGACGATGTAAGGAACATAAGACTTTCAATGGAGGAAAAGAATGTGTTCAAGGAGAAAGGTCTTAGCCGAATTGACTTAAACGGGAAATCACATGAGTTTCTCATTGGTGACAAGAGGCATAAGCAATCAGATGAGATTTATGCAAAGCTTGACGAGGTTGTGAGTAAACTGAAGCTGTGTGGTTACGTTCCAGACTCTGGTAGTGTTTTGGTGGATGTAGAGGAGGAAGAGAAGAAGGATTTGGTTCTATGGCATAGCGAAAAGCTTGCGCTTTGCTTTGGCTTGATGAATGAGGAAGAAGAAGAAGAGAGAGGTTTGTGCGGTGTTATTAGGATAGTCAAGAATCTGAGGGTTTGTGAGGATTGTCACACTTTCTTCAAGATGGTTTCTAAAGTGTATGAACGAGAGATCATAGTGAGAGATCGAACTAGGTTTCACCATTATAAAGATGGTTTGTGTTCTTGCAGAGATTACTGGTGAGTGAAGTGGGAAAAATTATTGTGTTCTCCCATTCACATATGGAACAAGATTTTTGAGTTATGTCTGAAAATGAAAAATTCTCTATGTTCCCCCATCTGTAACAAAATAGAATTAATTTTAACTGTGCATATGTTTTCATTGTTTAATAATTATAGAGATAAATTTACTTATAAAAAATAATTAAAATATATAGAAAAGAGATTACTATTTATTTGGTTTGTTTTTGAGTCTTTCCTAAACCGTGTAATTCAGTATATTTTTCTTTGGTTTGTTTCACTTTGTAAGATATATCACAATTGATGTTTTTGTTTGTTCTGTCACATTTTCCTCTTGTGTCCCCTAATCGAGTAAATTCAGAAGAACTACATTTGAAACAAAAACCAATTCATTAACCTAAAATTGTGTAAATTCAGAAGAATTAAATTGCAAAAATCCCTCAATAATCTTGCATATTCATTAGCATTTAGCCAACACTTAAAAGAAGTAACCCACTAGGAGAAAAATTAAGATGTGTGTACACACAACTTTAACTAAGTGGTGTTAGATCTGCTGAGCTTTTTGGACTTCGCCGGCAATAAGCTACGTACCGGACCTCCTCCGTAGCATCTGTTTCATGCCCTCGGCGACGAGTTCTGCCGGGTTAGCTTTAAACTTACCAAAAAACGACACGTGAGCGTTAAGAGCATCCTCGACCGTCTTCATCTTCCGGTCGCGACTAGCTTCGTCACTCACCGCTTCGGAGCAAAGTCCACAAAGCCATTTGTCGGCGAAGTTAGCTTTGACTTTACTAATGTAGTGTTGTGTACAATCTTCCGTTAAGCCACAACACTCACACGTCACCGATTCAATCTCCATCATTGACCAATCTATGGCTCCAAAACTGTTTTATAACTTATATTAAAAACCCACATATGTCTGGTTTAGTTTATGATAGAATGTGTTAAATATTTTAGAATAGGTTATTATTAAATCATGTTTGATATGAAATCATAAATACCAATATATATGGTGGCAATATTAACATAATGCTAATATTCATATAATGTAAGCTTTCCTAAAGACATAAATAAAATCTACTAAAAATTTATATCAAAGTTTAGAGAATTCTCTTTTGGGTTCATGAGCTTCACATTATAGATGTTACGTAAGATACGCATCTTACTTTCCAAATCACTTTATAAACTGTCATAGTATAACTTATATTAAAAACCGACAAATATGTCTAACTGTTTTTGAGTGTATGATTCTCTCAGTTGACGATAGAATGCTTTCGTGGAAATGAGAATAATGGACACAAAATCTAATTGTTAGTTATATATACGCATATAAAATACATTTTGCATGGTGGGTTTTCTATGATGGCTCTATACATAGGAATTAATATTATACTTAGCAGTTACATTATCATGAAAGCTAAACATAAGTTACTTCTTATAAGCTAATTTTAATTAAAACGCCACGTAATTTGTCGGTTTCAAGGTTTTCAATGTGGACCAAAGAACTTGAAGGTTGTGAATTTCTCGTATTATATGTTTAGGATAAGAATGTGTTCAAGGAGAAAGGTCTTAGCCGGATTGACTTAAACGGGATTTCTCACGAGTTTCTCTTCGGTGACAAGAGGTATAAATCAATCAGATGAGATTTTAGGGCTTAGGTTATAAAAAAAATTTGGATCAAAAACAATTCATTTCTAAATTTATATTAATTCCCGCAAAATCTCGTCCCGAATACGGCCATAATGATCTTGCATTTGCATTATATTATACATTAGACAACACGAAAAAGAAGAAAGTACTAAGAGAAACATTAAGATGTACATATATATACACAAACTACTTTGTGTTAGATTTTCCGAACTTCTTGGACTTCGCCGGCAATAAGCCACCGGACCTCCTCCGTAGCATCTGTCTCATGCCCTCGGCGACGAGTTCTGCCGGGTTAGCTTTAAACTTACCACAAAACGACACGTGGGCGTTAAGAGCTTCCTCCACCGTCTTCATCTTCCGGTTACGGCTGGCTTCATCAATCACCGCATCGGAGCAAAGTCCACAAAGCCATTTGCCGGCGAAGTTAGCTTTGACTTTACTGATGTAGTGTTGTGTACAATCTTCCGTTAAACCGCAACACTCGCACGTCACCGATTCGATCTCCATATTACTATATGGCTCCAAAACTATTATATTAATATTATATTAAACGATAAAAATGACTAACTGTTTTTGAAATCTGTGATTCTTTAACTTGGGGATAGATTGACGAGTGGATATGTGAACAATGGACACAAAGCTAATTGTTAGTTATATACACATTATAGAATACATGTTGCATGGTGGGGTCTATATGTTGGCTCTATACTTGGAACAATTAATATTATATTTCTAGAGAAATTGAGAAGTATAGAGAAACTGCATCATCACACCTTGGTGTTACATTATCTTAAAATCTAAACATAAGTTATTTCTAATAAGCCAATTTAAATTAAAACGTACCACATAATTTGTCGGTTTCAAGGTTTTCTAGTGTGGACCAAAGAACTTGAAGGTTGTGGCTTTCTGGTAATAGTATATGTTTAGGTGTGAGTCCACGTGGATTAAATCATTATTGCATGATACCAATGTTTTTATGTTAGGTAAATGATGATTTGAAAGAAATAAGATTAGGAAAGACAAAGAGTTGCAATAATTGGCTCCATGTTCTAAGTGACATGTGATTGTTATTTGTGGAAATGGAGACAAAGGTGGTCGGGCTTAGGGCTCCACTCTACCTTCATCTGATGCTCAGATCAATTAATAGTTAAAAATCCTACGAACGAAAATTACGATTTCTCTTACCAAATTGGTTTTGGTCTAGTGGCGAAATTTTAGAATGCACCAAAATTTGTTTTAGGGTTTTAGAGCTGTAAGAATGCAATTACTACAATTGGGCAGATTAATAATTTATGAAATTGATAAATATAATATAAAATGATATTGATTAAACACGAATTTAGGAAAACAGATTGCAGAGTCGAGACATGGTGATCTTTTTCCTTAATTCTGTAAACGCCCCGTGGTGTGACGGTTGCATGACATTCCGAATCTCAAGATACAACTGCATTATTCTTATGATTCGCATCACTAAAATCATAAAATTTGGAACCTTCTTTATGTGTTGTACTCTCATGAAAAACCAAAAAAAAAAAAAAAAAAAATAAGTGTATGAAGATTGTTGTTTCATGTTCTTTTTATAAAGAACGAGAGAGATGAAATTTTTAACTCCATCATGGTCCATAATACTCATTAATCTCAATTAATATTAAATCATTATAATTATTTGTGGAGTTACAAAATTGATGAGAATTAATTATTTAATTGTAGAAAATATGTAATTTGGCCAAATTTTTATTCTCATTTGATTAAATGAATTATTTATTTTTGACTAAATTAAAATTTATGTAGTGATCAATTACACAAATAATAATTTGATACAAAATAAATATTATTGGACCAAAGCTCATCTACCTCGAATCCACACCTAAACTCAAACCCGAGCCTGAACCGGTGTGCGTGCATATGGTTTAACATGGATTCACTTTTCTCTACAATTGTCCCAAGGTCTTAAACCTTTGTTAAGATTTTTCCACACTTTCTACTAGTCCATTTTGTGTCTTTCAAACAACAAATATTAGATAAGCATTTCTCATTCAAAACAAACTCCAATTTTAACATATCAGTACATTCATATTCCGATAATTCCTTCAGGTCTGGAAATGAACCGATGCAGCATGCGTTAAAATTGAATTCTATCAAGAGCTTCCTAATTCAAGTCTCATTTAGGTGGGATTGATCTGACAAAACCGAAAACTCAAATTACTATTTTGAAGAGACATTCGGTTCAGAATTTTTTTGGTATAGAAATTTCTTAGTGACAAAAAGCTACTTTTCACAAACAGGAATTGATGACTGGTCCACAAAACCGGCTAATACGTGTGGGCGAAGATTTGGGACCATAAACACAAGATTTAGTATGAAATATTATAGATTTTAACATTACAGAATCAGTAAATCACTATATTTTAAATCATTATTCTGCAAATGTTTGGCATGTCTCATGTGAGAGGATGTTTTTGCCACAAAATTTTGTCGACATTAGTATAAAATGGGGATTTTGTGGGCAGACAGCTTAATGAAAAGAAAAAGAAGAAGTAGGTGTTAGTTGATTTCCGTTGCCATTTTTGCCTTGACTTTCTCTAGACATGTGTTTGACTCTTGCCACTAACTGTCTTCGAGATGTTAGCCATAGATTATAAAAGTTTTGTCTATATCTTCCACATCATACATTTTCTATTTATAGCATTATAGTTGTCATCACTATAGTTTTAATGTTATTTATTATGTGCATATCAACACTGGAATTTTGTTTTTGTCACGATAAGAGTTTGAATCAGAATTCTTCTCATGAAATTTAATAGGTTCTTTTAACTGGTTTGACAAATATGATTGGACAACAATCCCTATATTTTTACTTAACTGTCTGATATGTCATGATAAAACAACATCGCTCAGAAAGTAAGATTTTTATAGAGCACATCAGCATAAATAAAACATTACAGAATACACTTATATTCAATAGAGACTAATAAAGAATATGTATATCAATGAGTCCAAAAGCTTTATGGTTTCTGATGACAAACCAAAAAAAAAAGTCAATATTTTGAGTAGATAATGTATGTAGCTGTGAAGAAGATGGCGAGAAGAGGGAATGAGATCTTGATAGAACTTCCATCAGACGATGACCCACTTTTTGGAACTGTTTTTGATCCATTTCCATGTTCTGTTCATATAAGATAATGTCGAAATAAATACAATTAGGTTCCATAAAAAATTACCAAAACCAGTTAATTTCTTTACTTGATATGCAAGTTAGCTTTTTTTACCTGAAGTGTTTGATGATCCTGTAGGCGAATTAACCGTAGAACCATCTGAAAAATAACAAACTCCTAGTGCGTGAGAGGCAACAAACAGCGTAAAAAAAGATGAACCTAATGGAAAGTGATCTCTAGAAACAGAGTCTTTTCTTACCATTGCAGCGACTAACAGGAGGAGTTTGAACATTACAAGCTTTAGGTAAAGCAAGAGCTTGTTTTTCGTTAACATTGATCCCAAGCTGAGAACCTCCACCTCTGAGAATTTCACACAAACACTCAGGAGAAGACCTGACAACATTAGCCAGCTGATTGCAGCATTGTTGAGAAGGAGAAGTAGAGTTTCCAGTGATGTAGCCGAGACACGGCGCCATGCTGAGTAGAACATTCGTGCAGCTTGATTGAGCAGAAACCGTCGACGACATCACCGCCATTGAAACTGTAAGAAACAGTAAACACATTGTGGGTTTCATGTTTTTCTTGTGTTGTTCCGAGAATCTCTCAAGAGTTTGTTTGTGTTGATGTGTGTTTTGAGAGCAACTAAAATAAATAAGAAACTCATGCCGTAGAAAAAGACGAAAATAAGGAGGTGGCTTAATCTTGATGACCAACTTTTTTGCAACAGTTTTTTGGTGAAGTTGCGTTATGATTCACAATTAATGGAGACTTCTGTGAAAGAATTCTTCTTACGTTTTTGTGACTGGCTTTAGCTTGTTGAACTACTTTTCTAATTATATAAATTTTTCGAGGGTATTGACATTTGATTTGCCGACTTTTTGAATGAAAAAGAAAGTTTTGTGGAGAAAATTGTTTTCTTTCTCAGGTCTCTATATGTTATATTTTGTATTATTGAATACGTTGTTGAATGTTGATGTCTACAGAAACACATATATGTACATATTACTTCTTTTTTTTTGGGTTTAAATATTACTTGTTAGATATATATTATAAATGAAAAAATCTTCATCTCGCATTCAACAACATATTCAATATTACTTGGTTACTCGTAAAGTCAACAAAACTGCAAAAAGTCAAACAAAAATAACGGGCTTTGATATTCTATCCAAAAGGCCCAAACTAAATTCTACTAATCATCTTCACACGTGGGCGCGCGTATCCGAATGGCTTTTCACCGCCAAGTCAGCAACTCAGGGGCAAACTCGTAAATACACGAAATTATCAATCCTCAAGTTCTTTATTTGCCGCCACCATCGTTACGGGAGTCTCAGTCGTCACTTTCAACCATAAGTAATCTCTGTAACTGAAATCACGAAGGAGCAGAGACCTCCGAAACAACGAAAATGGCTGCCACAAGCACCATCGTCATGTTCGTCCTCATACTCGCGATCACTCTCTCTTACTCCGCCGTGGCCGCCGAGACTGCGCAGGCACCTTCTTCTCAACCGCTTCTGACTTGTACGGAGGAGCTGGTTATGTTCTCTCCATGCCTCCCTTACGTCTCCGCTCCGCCGAACAACATTTCAGATACACCGGATCGTCTCTGCTGCACGGTTTTCTCCTCGTCTGTTCATTCCACCGCCGGAAACTGCCTCTGTTATCTTCTCCGGCAGCCGATGATCCTTGGATTCCCGCTGGATAGATCTAGACTGATTTCACTATCCCAGATCTGTACCGATCGGAGCTCCAGCGAAGAATCTTTCGAGTCTCTCTGCTCGCCATCAGGTTAAATTTCGATTCCTTCTAATCCAATTGAATTCGATTGATCGAATCTTAGATATGTAATTTTAGGGATTTCAATCTGTGTGGTGCAGAGTCGCCTGAGCTTCCGCCGCTTCAGAGTATCCAGTTCACATATCCGTTTGCTCCCGGTAAATTCCGAGAAAACGGAGTCGATTTCGGTGGATTCAGATAATGTTTGGTTGAATTGAGACGAGAGCTTCATTGATATCTGCAGGTGATCGAGTTTCCGCCTCTCCTCCATCCGTCGGCTTGGCACCGGAAACCGCCGGAATTTCACCAAGCTCCGATCAATTCTCGCCAGAAACTGCTACCGTATCATCACCACCACCACCGTTTACAAACGACTCTCCACATACAGAAAGAAACTTCTGGTTTCTATCGACCATCATCATGACGTTGGCCACTTCTATCCTCACTAACATCTGAAGCAATCTACGTTGAGGTTTACTTCTTTCATTGTACAGTGTTTTCGTCTGCATTGAACAAAGAGATATAGTGGAAGAAGAAGTTTTAGGTTTTTTGCTTTTCTTCTACTTTTTGCTCAATTGCTTCTTCATATACGCACTCTCATAAGAAACTGTTTCTTTCATCTCAAAGTTTCAACACAGTCATATCATATTCATTATCTGGGAGAACGAACTAATAAGCTTTTAAAAAAATTCAACACGAAAGGATAAAAATGTCAGCTTAAGTAATAAAACAACGAAGTTCATAAAAACGACTCAAGCAGCAGCAGTAGTCACGTCTTGTACAGACATACGCCAAGCGTACTCGCGAGCTCCGTCTTTGTCGACGATCTTGATCACAAAGTTTGGTGGTGCAACGACAAGTCTCGACCTGATCTCAAGTATGCATTTGTCTACCAATTCAATGGCTTCTTCAACGGACATGTCGCTGCGGTAGTGTCTGTCCATTGTAGCGAGAGAGAAGTAGGAGCCGTAACCGAAAGCTCCCTTGTCTACCTTGTGAAGGGTTGCGATGTAGTCAATGTAGTATAGAGATGCGCCGGCTTCTTTGTCGTAGCCAGCCATTAGGATGTTCACAGAGTATGGATTCTGCAATCAAACAGAACAAACAGCAATGAGAAAACGGAATACAGAGTTTCCATCATTGGCATTTTCAGTGTCTATTAGGAATCTTAAGCAAAAGCCACTTGGGTTTATCAGTATATAATACCACTCAACAATGTATAATACGTGAAAGATTCTACCCGAAATCGGCCATAAGATCATAGATCAAGCCACATAGTTCAGAGTAAACAAATACAAAACTCTTATTCAAAGCAACGAAGTTTTAAAACAAAGCAAAGCTTGGAACAGTCTCATTGCTTTGCTAAAATTCTCTGCTCATCTCAAACGAGCAACATTATATGTGCCTACATAATGAATTTATAGGTGTTTATTTCAACTCGCATCCAACACAATAGGAGAACTTAACTCCATACATAACTTCGAACTCATGGTTCGAATCTCAGAATAACTTTAATCAGCAATAATTTTACACTATCTGGTAGAAGAGGAAGTGAAACCACAGCATGACAGAGGAAAGTTTCAATCCAATAGCTCAATAACACACAAGTTTTCAACTAAATTGTATCAAAAGCGTATAACAAACCAAGAATCGTCACAGTATCTATCACCTCCAACACCTAATAGTTGCTCAATCAATCTATTATCTGCTGATTTGGTATTCCAAAATCCCACTATCTCATAAAAGCATCTAACGCGAAGAAACTATAGACCCTAATTTACAAAGCTCAAATCACAGCCAAAACATCCCAAATTCCGAAATTAAAAACCCTAGAAGAAAAGTTAACAAAGAGCTCACCTTTCTCAAAGCAGTGGCGAGCTCTCCACGAGTGAAGTTCGCTGCAGCAGCGGTAGTCAAAGGAATCCCGTTTCGGAACTGATAAAGTGACACATTCTTCTGAACATACTGCGTAAACTGAACCCTATAAAGCCCAAAACACAAATCAAATCCCATCTACCGATTCACAGAGAGAGACAGACAGAGAGGAAAAGAGAGGCGGAGAGAGGTTTTACCGGTCACCAGGCTCGCCGCTTGCGGCGATGAGCTTGTGGGAGTCAAGTTTCATGATCTTGTCTTCGTTGTTCTTGTGGACAAGGATACTGTGAACTGCCGACGTATCCGCCGCAACGATAGCGAATCCATCCCCGACGAGACCTAATACACACTCCATCTTCAGATCTGTTCTTCACAGGTTTGAATTTCTTGAACTTTTCCGAATTTTCGATTCAGATTATTGTTTTCCTCCGGTCGCTGGAGATATAAGGAAGAGCTCTTAGATCAAAGCGACTTGAGGAACAAGACGGGGTGATCGAGTAATTCTAGAAGAGAATTAGGGGTACTTTCGACATATTAGTTTACAAATACGGTCCTAAATGGTGGGATAGTGTTAAAATTTCTATTTTCTAAAGTATGAGGATGTAAGAGAGAGTACAGTAAAAGCGTAGGGGTTTATTTGTAAATAAAGATTAATTCTGGAAGCAACCTCTCGTTTCCTTCTCTCTCCCGCTTCTTGCTGAGTCGCCGACCTCTGAGAAGAATAAGGTCTAACAATGGTAGTCTGCGATTCTTCCATCAGTTTCTAATTATATAAAAATCATTCGATTAATTTCTCTCTTTTTCTAATCTCTTCCACCTCGATTTCAAGAGACTGAACAAGTTTTAATTTCTGTAAATTCCGAGCTTCCTCTCAAAGCAAAGCACTTATTCCTGAAAGAGAAATGAAAGGTTTCTTGATTCTACTCGAGTTGTATTGATTTTTTTGAATAAGGGAATTATTCGTTCAATCCCAATTCCCAACAGTTTTTTTAAAAATGGCGTATTCTGTTCTTCGGCTTCGAAAGGTTTCAGCTTTCGGGATTTCTCGTGTCCTTCAAGGTTGGAGCTTCGAAACCCCTTTTCTCTCTATTTTCTGTTTATCGTTTGGTTCTGAGAATTCTGGAAACGACCAAAGTTTACTTCATAGACATAGTTGACTCCAGTTTATAAGAATAACCGGATATTTTGTTCATGGGGATGCAGAAGTTTCGACCTTTTAAAATTCGAATTTAGCAATATCTGACCTTTTTGTTTTAGCTCTGTAGCTTCTTCACTCGTTACTGTGTAGTTTTTAGAAGATTGGATTGGTTATATTGTACGCTGTATCAAATGATGGCTTCATGTTTCAGCTGATAAAGGAAGTTTGTGGCGGTTTCACTTGGAACCCGAGTTTGGTGAGGTTTTGAGATTAGGTTTATTGACTAGGAACTACAGAAAGAGCTCTGATTCCCCAAAGTATGACTTCACTGGCACAGGAACCACCACCACCAAGTTCGATTTCACTGATCTCACGTAAGTCCAAAACTTCTTGTAGATTCATTGTTTGGTAAGACACTTGATATTTGGATATTCTCTTTAGCTCCCCAATAGCAACGAATTTTGATTCTCTTTGCAGTTCCGATGTTAAGATCTTGATCATGCTTATGATTGCTTGCTGTGTAGATATTTGTATATATTCATGTCGTAACCTTGAATCTCAGCTGTCCTCATACATGGTATCCAATTGCACGGACGAAGAAGCGTAAAGTCATTCTACATGTCGGCCCGACAAACAGTGGGAAAACATATAATGCCCTTAAGCAACTTGAACGGAGTTCTTCAGGTATGCCTTAAAAGGTGATTACTAACTCTTTTTTTTTCTCTCTGAAATCCATTTCTTGTACTGTTTAAGATTGATTTTTTTTCTTTACTTGAAGGTGTATATTGTGGTCCGCTAAGATTGTTGGCATGGGAAGTAGCTAAACGGTTAAACAAATCAAATGTTCCATGTGATTTGATCACTGGACAAGAGAAAGACTTAGTGGAAGGAGCAAATCACAAAGCTGTGACAGTTGAAATGGCTGATGTAACATCGGTCTACGATTGTGCCATCATTGACGAAATCCAGGTTAGTCTTTGACTGAACAAATTGACAATAGCGTTTTGTTTTCTTATTCGCCTCCTTACTTTCTCTAATCTCAGATGGTGGCATGTAAACAAAGGGGCTTTGCGTTTACTCGTGCTCTACTTGGGATTGCGGCTAATGAGCTACATCTATGTGGCGATCCTGCTGTCGTACCTCTTGTTGAAGATATATTGAAAGTAACTGGAGATGATGTTGAGGTATCATGTTTATTAGAGCTAGAGAGACTCTCTTTCTTCTCGAAGATAATGGATTAATGTGATAGTTTAGTCGTTCTTGACGTAATTACGACCTCTTGTTTTGTATTTAGGTTCTTACATATGAGAGGCTTTCACCATTAGTCCCTTTGAAGGTTCCAGTTCGGTCAGTTTCCGATATTAAAACTGGAGATTGTCTTGTAACTTTTTCACGCAATGATATATATAATCATAAGGTTAGCAGTTATTGTTTATTTTGTACTCTTTTCCTGTATCATTTTAAAATGCATACATTGTTCTGTTGGCTTTAATTCTCTGTTCTTACCGTGTCTTCATTTTTTGCACCTTGTCGTAGAAAATAATTGAAAAGGCAGGGAAGCATCTTTGCTCTGTGGTTTATGGTTCATTGCCTCCAGAGACTCGTACAGCACAGGTTTGAGTTCCTTTACTGTTCTGTCTCTAGACTTTAACATGATGGTCTAAGAATCATCTCTTTTGTTTCAGATTTGTTCTCTCCATATTTTCATGGTTTTAAGAAAAATGCAGGCAACAAGGTTTAACGATGACACCAACGACTTTGATGTGCTTGTAGCCAGCGATGCAATTGGCATGGGTCTTAATTTGAACATTTCAAGGATTATCTTCTCGACCCTTGAAAAATTTGATGGTACCGGGACTAGAGACTTAACAGTATCCGAGATTAAACAAATTGCAGGTATATTTCAACAAAAAAAAATATCAATTAACACTACTTCAAGAGATGCTAAGGGAATGTGTTGTGACACTTTGGATTAGTCTAAGATCTTGGCTTAGAATATCTTTGGTTCTTTGCTTCAGTTTGATCTCTGTTTGTATTTTCTAATGTTCGTATGATCCTGTTGCAGGGAGAGCTGGCAGATTCAGGTCAAAGTTCCCTGTTGGCGAAGTGACTTGTTTGTACAAAGAGGATCTTCCGTTGCTACACTCTTCTCTTAACTCTCCTTCACCTCTTATTGAGGTAATTTTTTTACTATATAACCTTGAAGATTAGTTCTCTACATCTTTTCCTTCTTATGCTTGTCTTAAGTGTTGCACAAAACTTCTATCATCCAGCGTGCTGGACTGTTTCCAACATATGACCTCCTGTCTCGGTATTCACTAGCACACCCTAAACTTGGCTTGTTCCAGATATTGGTAAGATACAAAAAAAATTCTATTTGTTGTTATTAGTCCTTAATGAGTGAATCTGAAATCTTAGCTCGTTAACTTTGGCAGGAACATTTCGTTGAAAATGCTAAGTTATCTTCAAACTACTTCATCTCTAACGTTGAAGACATGATGGTAAGTCTCAGTGATGGTCTAATTTTGTTCATACATCAGAAACAGATTTGTTAACACTTGTTGGTGTTATTTGTTTAAGAAAGTTGCAGCTCTTGTTGATGAATTACCCCTCAAACTGAAAGATAAGTACCTTTTCGTGGTCAGGTAATAACAAGAAAGTAACATTGTTTCGTTCTTTTGTTGTTTCTTGCATTCATTGAGATTTCAAAATGGTAAACAAGTTTTGGACTGATCAAACTTTATTTTCGTGCAGTCCAGTTGATATAAATGATGAAATATCAAGCCAGGGACTTGCACAGGTTAAAAATAAACGACAAGCTCTTATGTTCTTCAATTTGTGAGATTAATAATGGTATCTATGCATGTAAATGACAATTGTTTCACTTTTACTTTTACTTCTTGATACTTCAGTTTGCTCGAAACTTCTCGAAGACAGGCATTGTGAGGCTCCGAGAGATATTTGCAGCCGACAAAGTTAAGGTTCCAAGAACACCAACAGAACTCAAGGAACTTGAATCTCTTCACAAGGTTAACATCTTTTCTTGTCCTGTGAGTAGCATAGGGTTCACTGTTCAGTTCGGTAACATTACAATGAAACAGGTTTTGGATTTGTACGTATGGCTAAGCTTAAGGCTAGAGGATTCATTTCCGGACCGTGAAGTAGCAGCTTCGCAAAAGTCAATCTGCAATTTGTAAGTAGCAAGAATTATAAAAACACAGTCTTTTCCTCTGCTATGCTTGACGTTCTGATGCAAAGAAACATTGGATTCTTACAGATTGATTGAGCAGTTCTTAGAGGGAAATAGATTGATCTCTTCTACTGGATTCTCGAAAAATCTGAGGACCCGACGACGATTCTGAGATTACATTACCAGTTTGATTGGATATTTATTGTTCTGCTCGTTTGGTTTGGTCACTGAGGAAGAAGTAAAGACAGTTGATTGTGCCACAACACTTGATTAAAGATGCATTCAAAAAGTTGTCATGTATTTAACTGTGTCATTAACAACAGTAGAGAACCATTTAGTTTTATAATTGTTTTTAATCATTTCGTTGGGACATGACATGGTCTGAGATGTAATATAAAAGCATATTGTTATACAAGCAGCCGAGAATTATAATTTGTTAGGCGCATATGATTATCAGATGCACTCCATAATGAAATATGATTCAGAAACTTGTGTTAGAACAAGCAATGATCACATTAACAAAGAGGAGGGGCAAGGAACTTCAACAACAAAAGGTATGTAATTATCATGTGTTTTAGGATTTTAGACAATATTGAAATGTGAAGAAAAAACCCACATCGGAATAAAATACTGAAACCAAATTGACAAGCAAACAAAAGCAAAATGCATAAACAGGTAAGAGAAGAGGAAACTTACAAACAATCTCTGATAATGACAACAATCATAGAAATTAATAAATCAACTAAACAATCATTCGTTTTTCTTTCTTTTGTCAACCACAAAAACCAATGACTCTACTTTTTTGTCTCCACTTTGAGTATTCACAACGACCAAAAAAACAAAGTTAAAGAAAATAGTTAAAAGACGCTTCTTGGGGAAGAAGAAATACAAAGCATTCAATGTCAAAGGACAAGAAGAATACAAGACGATAAAAGAAATCACGGGGTAAAAAGCGAAATTCAAGGACCACGAGCCGGAGCAAAACAGAAACAGCCAGATCTCTGATCTTCCGGTATCATTCCGCCGCCTTTGCTGGTATCAATTCCTTCAAGCATCTTCACCACTTCCTCCATCTCCGGTCGTCTCTGCGAATTCTCATCCCAACATTTCTTCATTATATTCGCCAATGAAGTCGGACAGCATCTCGGTATCTCCGGCCTCAGATTCTTTTCCAAAAAAAAATACATAAAAACAAATTTCAGAATCTTGACCTTACGTACGCAACAAGGAAACTAACTAGGGCTTTTTTGGTTAGGTCAAAAGCTACTTACATGTAAGACAACCGCAGAAGAAACATCGACAAAACTAAGATCAGGATAAGGCATATCGCAGCAGTAGATTTCCCATAAACATATCCCAAAGCTGTAAACATCACACCTTCTGTTGTATGGCTTACCATCGATAATCTATCAAGAACTACTTAGGTTAAAACTTATTCGATTTTTAGGTTTCGAAAAAAAAACAGAGAAAGAAACCCTTAACCTACCTCAGGAGCCATGTATCCAAGAGTACCGGTTTGTCCAGTCATGTCCTTTGGATTAAGAGCTTCCACTCGAGCCACTCCAAAATCCGCAATTTTCAAATTCCTTTGAGTATCCAAAAGCATGTTCTCTGCTTTCACATCGCGATGCACAATCTTCTTTTTATGCAAATAGCTTAGCCTGCAAGAATTATATTCGCATTTGTATATATGAATTTCAAAGTCCATAATTATATAAAACCATAAGAAGATTAGTTTAGTTACCCTCGGGCGAGATCAAGAGCGAGTTTGATGACGATTTTAAAAGCGAGTTTCTTTCGTCTATTACGGAACAAGTACTGTTTCAATGTTCCACCAGGAACATATTCCACAACCACACAACAAGCTCGTTGAGGAAACGAGTTTTCTGATTCAGTCGATGATATTTTCAGGTTCCTTGTTCCCATCGAAGCTCCAACAAACTGTTTTCATTCAAAGATTTGTCAATAAGATCCTGAATCGTGTGAAAGAAGAAGCTTAACCGATTTGACTAACCTTTGTGACATTTGGGTGGTCGAGTTTGTGCCAAACGGTGACCTCTTGACGGAATAAATCACGATTTGTAGTACTCTTCTTCCCATTTTCAATCCCTTCATCTTCCCAATCAAGAACCTTCACTGCCATTACACAAACACCACCAAACTCAATAAGAAGCTATTCAAGAAAGATCAAGATGATATTGATTTGCTTTGAAATGTACCTGCAACATCTTGACCATCGTAGGTGCCTTTGTAGACAGTACCAAAAGTACCACGAGCGATGACATTCTTTGTTTCAAGCTTAGCCAAATCAATCTCCCATTCTTCCTCCTTAGCTTTATTGTTTAGCTCAAGGTTCCTTGACCAAACCCTACTCAGATGTTTCTCAAGTTGTTTGTCTAAACTCTTCAAATCGATCTTATCAGCACGAAAGATCCTGTCTTTCTTGTTGTCTCCTCCTTCTTCTCCTGATGATCTCTTCTCCATGTCTTAATATTTAAATCAAAACTCTTTTTAACTAGACAAAGACCACACAACTTTCGAAAACAGCAAAGATTCTGATTTAAAGCTTCAATCTTTTCATCATCAACATCATCACAAAATCTTTCAGATTACTAGTGAATTGAATGAAACCACGCAGGATTTATTATTTAAAAAAACAATCTTTTGATTACTAGGTTAAACAAAGGCGGCGCAAATATTAAAAATTCAGGTGTTTTTTTTTTTTTGGTAAAACCAACAATAATGAAATTTTCTCCAATTGAATTAGAAAAGCAAAAAAAAAAAAATCGACTATAAGAAAAAGTAAACCCTAAGAAAACGACTTGTTACCCACAATTTGTCTTTATGATCGATCTATCTAGCACACGAATGATTCCAGAGAAAGTAAGATCTTAATATAATATTCAAATCAATTAAAAAAAAAAACTAAAACCAAAAGTCAGCTGTATCAACCACTAGGACATGCAGAAACAAGAAAGAAACAAAAGGCACACGCAATAAGCTAATTGAAAAATTCTCAACAATCTAAGAAGAAAGATGAGAATTTCAATGGTGGATTTCTGTTTAGGCGGCTAATAGTGCGAGATTTATCTCCTATCCTTTTGAGTAAACAGAGGATTTTTTTTTATTCTCTTTGCTTTTTTTTGGTGTTTGTGGATGAAAACAGAGAAGATCTGAAAGAGAGAATCTGAGAAGAGAAGGGCTTAGGAAATCACGAAGAGAGAGAGATGGAGCGTAAAAGACGGAAGAGAAGCTGTTTCTTTCAGGCTGGTTTTAAGGAGACGTATTTATTTGTTTCTTCTACTCATATTTATCATCAACAAACAAATTATATTGAAATTATCGTCAAAATATTATGGTTATATCGTTTTGATTTTACGTATGTGGAAACAAATATATTGCCAACTGTAAAATCTTATATAGTATATGTTGTAAAGGTTTTTTTCTAAATACAAGTTCTAAAATTCACAGTCAAAGACACATATCATTAAATTTGATAAAAACAATTAACTTTAATAAAATTTACTGATTTTACTAAACCAATCAAAAAAATCACTAAATATCTGTCTGGCAAATATCTACAAACAGGTTTTCTCTAAACGCAAGTTCTGAAAAATAAGTGTCATGTAATATTTTAATGTCTATCATTAAAACTAAAAAATAATAGTTTAAGGATTTGAAGACACATATTACTTAATAATAATATATAGTGTATATATTTTTTTTAAAAAATATTGGCGAGATAAAATTTTAGTATTTTTTTTTTTAAAGTAATTAGGTGATGACCCCCATATACACGCGAGTTTACATTTTATGATATATTTTTAAATATAAAATTAATATAATATTTTATTTTAAATATCAAAATGATTTTTTTTTATAATTGTTAACTATGGTAATACAGATATATTGTTTAAATTAATCTATATTTTCTTTCATTTATATTTTTATTATTGTTTTAATTTTTATTTTAAAATTATTCATACTAATTTTTTTTTTGAATTTTTTTTCTTAAACTTGTAAAAAAGAAGAAAGTTTTTTCATCTTTTTAAACACTCCAAATTTGGTTTAAAGTAGGTTAAATTTTTATGATCACTCTATTTTAACATGTGTGTATCTTTTAACAAATTTCAGTTTTAATTTTATATTTATTAGTAATGAGACTTGAAAAAGTTGATGAAAAAGTATTATATGTTAAATGAAAGTTGATAATAATTTATTACACTCGTCTACCATATGATGATTTACAAATATATTGAAAAGTTATGTTTATCGAAACTGACTTACGTTTATCCTAAAAAATTATGTTTATCGAAATTTATAACTTATTGTGAATTTCCGTATATGAATTTATATATAAGAATTAAATTTAATTATTATTATATTCTTCTCTTCCACTTTTTTGTTAATTTTTTTAGTATAAAAAATTAAGTATTTAAGTGTTGGCAAGCTATTTTACCTTCATAAATATCATATAGCATATATATCGGTTTTTCTACAATTTTTTTAATTTTTGTTGGTATGTGTATATTTTCTAAACAAATAATTTCTTGATTGTTTAATCTGTATATTTAGATTTGATTTTATATTTAATATTGATTTTATATGTCATAAACCGATAGAAGTTGCTAATTGAATTTTTTCTTATAAAAAGTATTTACCATTTTATTTATAAAATTATATATTTATTTCACAATTTTTCTTAATTATTTTTATCACAATTTTCAAAAGATTAAATTATGAAAACATTAATTTATTTTGATCTGTCTTTTTTTTTTCACTTTGCGGTTTGTTTTTATTTGCTTCAACCTACATCACCTGATTATATATTTATTCATTACTTAATAATTGTTTACCTTTCTTTTATTTTGAAAATTTGAAAAATAGGATGTTTAATATTCTCAATACACACTCATAACCACGTACAATGAACATTTTTTTTTATAAGTATCAATCTGTATTGAAATTTCAATGTTTACATTGAACATTCTCTGCAATTACTCTTCCTCCCTCCCACACAAGTCGTTGTCTTGAAAATCTTAATCCGCCATTGATATTCAAATTTATTAGGATCAATAGCTGAAATGCCATTATTTCTCAAATTTCAATATTATATGCCATCGTTATAATAATTAATTTATTTTCGATTTATTTTTAATATAAAAAGTGTGTAAATCTAACTTTGTCATTCAAAAAACTTTAGAATTACAAACTCAACCTGGGTTTTGCCCACCCAAACCCGGATCAAACATACCGTAGTTTTCTAAATTTACAGAAACTATAAATCGATTCATTCTTCTTCTTTCTCTCTGATCCCCTGTCTCCGTGCCACACCGTGAGACTATAAACTGAGTTCGATTGGTCTTCTCTTTCCTCCTCCTTTTAATCTCAAATTTTATACTTCTCTTCCTGTCTCTCTCTTCATCCATCTCCGTCAACCCTCTTCATCTCTCTTTTTCTCTCTTTTTTTGATTTGATTTATCAGATATGGTTAAAGTGAAATTTGCTAACAGGGTATACGAAACCAGAAGAGGTCAATGAAATGAAAACTTGGCAAGAGAATCAGAACCTGCTAAAGTTGTTCCTCCATTAGAAGCAGAAACCGCTCCTCCACTTCCTCCTGAAACTGACACAGCAGCGACGGGAACGAAGGCTCCAACACCAATAAAAGGAACCGAAGAAGTGGAGAAAGTTCCTGAAGTGGTGCCTCCTGCAATCAATTCTGAGAATCCCCCGACATCAGCAACCACAGAAGCGCTAATGGAAGAAGGAACAGAAGAAGTGGAGAAAGTTCCCAAAGTGGTGCCTCCTACAATCAATTCCGAGAATCCCCCAGAAGTGGTGTCTCCTTCAATCAATCGGATCAATCCCGAAATAAGTGAAGAGAGTCCCTCAACTCCAGAACCAGAAAAAACCTGAACTCCAGATGAAGGGAGGGAATCCACAAAAAACGATGATGAAAAAATTGTGTCTGGTGAAGAAGAAGAGCAAGAGAATGTGGAGCAGAATGTGTCTGGCCAAGAAGTAGAGCAAGAGAATGTGGAGCAAAATGTGTCTGGCCAACAAGAAGAGGAAGATAATGTGTTAGGCGAAGAACAAGAGGAAGAGAATGTGTCTCGCCACGAATAAGAGGAAGAGAATGTGTCTCGCCATGAACAAGAGGAAGAGAATGTGTCTGGCTATGAACAACAAGAAGAGAATGTGTCTGGCCAGGTATAGTTTACGGATACATATACTTATGCATTTGCTTACTTTTAGACTGAAAATTGAGAATGATTTTGTGTTGTGTGTACTTTATTGGACAAATGGTAAAAGTCAGTAGTATTTTGGTGTTCAACTATGTTTTCTAGGTTCAACTATATTAGTATCTTCAATGAATGTTAGGTTCAACTGCACTTTCTAGGTTCAACTAAGTATTGGTAGGTTCAACTATGTAGGCTTTGTTTAACTAGATGTTTAAAGTTCAACTACGCTTGATTGGTTAAGTTCAACTATGTTTTCTAGGTTCAACTACATTAGTGTCTCCAATGTATATTAGGTTCAACTGCGCTTGCTAGGTTCAACTAGGTATTGCTAGGTTCAACTACGTATTTCTAGGTTCAACTATGTAGGCTTTGTTCAACTAGATGTTTGAAGTTCAACTACGCTTGATTTGTTAAGATCAACTATGTTTTCTAGGTTCTACTACATTAGTATCTCTAATGTATGTTAGGTTCAACTGCGCTTGCTTGGTTCAACTATGTTCAGCTTGCTTGGTTCAACTACGTATATTAGGTTCAACTAGGTTCGAGTAAGTATTTATTTATTTTAATGGTTTATTAAATCTGAGTTTGAATTCACAGGATAACGAGGATTATAGTACACCACTGCAACCAGAGAAGTTTTACTTCGGTCCAGAGCAATATAGCAAGGCTTGTAAGATAGGATCGAGGTGTAGTGTGAAGGATACAGTGAACATGATAAAGCAGTTTCCAACTGAATTGAAGTGGTTCACAGCTCACCCTCAGTTTAAGCATATTTTTCACATGGAGGAGGGCCAAACCGAAAGCCTATGGGCATGTGGATGTTGCTACTTCATCAAGCTTGTACGGATTCGATGAATGAGCTGTGGTTTGTGGTTAATGGAGTTCCTATTAGATATTCCATAAGAGAGCATGCACTGTTATGTGGGTTGGACTGCCATGACTACCCGAGCAACTATGAATAATTAAAGGATAAGAAAAATGGGGATTTTAAGTTTGTGGATAAGATGTTTGGAAGGAAAGTGAACATAACAATCGCAGATGTGGGAGAGAAACTCGAGTCATTGCGGAGTGGTGTGGACAAGAAGAAGATGGCTGTCCTGTGTTTCTTATCCACTGTTTTGAAAGCAAAGTCTAAGGTTGCAGGAAACATAGAGCTGTTCTTTCTTAAGATTGTTGATGATTTGGGATTGTGTAAAACATTCCCATCGGGGCGTTACACATTTGATGATTATATGGTTGAGGTGAGGGAGAAGATGAAGAAGTTCAAGAACGGCATTGTGAGAGACAAATATTCATGGATCTTTTCTGGTTTCATTCTTCCTTTGGAGGTAACCAACTCTTACCAATGGTTTCAAATTATTACTTTGTAGAAAATATGGTTGTGATAGTGTAACTTATGTGTAGGCTTTTGCATTTGAGTGTATTCCTATGTTGGGATGCAAATTTCGAATAGATGTTGTTCCACCTGAGAAGGACTGTCCACGATTGTGTAAGCACAAGTTTGTCGAGGGTTCCATGAAAGGTTTTCCTTTGGAAGATATTAACGAGACCATTAGAAAAACTAGGGTGAGATTGTCGACTGTTGTATTTGATATTTGTTTGGTTTTTAAATTTACAATTGTGTTGATTTTCATTATCCAAAATTCACAGGATATCATTAGCATTTTGGAACCTGACTCGGACGAGGAAGCTCTTATGGGTAAGCCATGCAATCGCTTTCAATGCACAAACAAGATAATTCAATGTCAAGATTAAGGTTCTACTAAGTTGGAGTTGGCATCAAATCAAAGCGAGTTTCAACATAAGACTAGAGTATCAAATGCAAGTAATCAAAGTATGGTGCAGCCTTAACTTCAAACTCACTAGATGCAATCAAACAACAAACAACTTAGGCATTGAAAACAATTCAAACATTGACAACTTAACAAGTGTTTATCATTCACTCCCTATGCAAATGCAGCAACCTAAATGATTTTTAAAAATTCTAGACTCAATCCTAAAATATTCTACAATGCAAGTGCAACTACATGAATTTTTTTGAAAATTTTTAAAAACTTTTAACATTTTTTTGTATTTTCTATGCTTTATGATTCCCCCATTGTGAAGAATGAAGATGATCAAACGCTTTGGGAAAGGGTAGATTTAGAGGTTACACTTTGGGTTTTAGAAGTCTTTAGGTTCATCTTGGGTAAAAAAGGTAG